TTTTTTAAAAGCTTATAAAATATAATTTTTTAAAGAATTTGACAGATGATGACATACTTTTAATAAAGTTAGAGGAGTCAAATATCACCTCGTAATGGGAAGGCTACTTTTTGATAAAATTTTGAATAATTGTTTAGAAGGTGCTCCTAAAATTTTGAACGTGCTCCTAAATTTTTTAAGTTAGGAGCACAAGTGCTCCTAAAAAGAAAAGTAAGCGTAGAGCCCTGCATTGTGTTCAAGTTGGTCAGAATTCGCTCACCCCTCAAAACGCTGGATATTTTTCCTGCACATTCATGAATCCTCTTATTGTAACAAAGTGTAGACATAGACACGATGCAAATAAGAGATTTATGGTGCCTTATAAGAGATTTATGGTGCCTTATAGAGAGTTTCATTGATTATTATAATGGAACTTTGTGAGATCGCGATGAACTGAAGCGAGTGAGTTTTTTAGTGATTATAAAGGAACGCTCCGGTTACTAACCTTCCCTGAGATAAGGGAACGAGTGTTGCATTACATGCTAATGGGGTAAACTCCTGTTTACTCTGATACTGAAGCCTGATTTGTTCACGTTTGTGATGTTTGGTCCTCCTGGTGGCCCCACTCTGGAGGAATCAGATACGGTTCCCCAAGCTGACCCCTGGCCGATACCACTGAGGACAGACCTCCTCTCTCAAGCAAGAGGCATGATTTGGCATCCAGAGCTGTGGAGCCTTCATGTTTGGCTCCTCGCCAGGTGTCTTTATACAGTAACTCCCTGTGAGTGAGACTAATAACATTTTGGAGGCTAGCCCCATTTACGAGACACCTACACCCTTAAATGGTCAGTCTTCTCTGACTGGTGTGCAGCACAGAATGAGGACCCGTCCTCTTGTGACGTGTCCTTCGTGCTAACCTTTCTACAAGAGCTGCTGGATAAGGGGCGCACCCGTTCCAAGGCTCAAAAAGTGTATGTGGAAGCCATCGCAGTGAATCATTCTCTTGTGGCTGGCCAGTCAGTTGGCAGAAATTACCTTGTCGTTTAGTTTCTGAGGGGAACTTGAAGATTGAATCCGCCTTGTCCTCATACTGTGACTGGGACTCATCTATAGTATATCTCATCTATTTCTCTCTCTCTCTATAGTGATGTCAAATCGATTAATCGCATCCAAAATAAAAGTTTGTGTTTACATAA